TCACAGTCATTCTTCTGGAAGGAGTTGTCTATATTCAGTGTCCCTACTTCCTCCTATCCTAATCACTCCCCTCCCACTGAAATCTGCCTTTTGTTCCCAATACTCTTACCAAAGTCATCCATGACATCTTTGTCTCTAATGTTTCCAATTGTCATCTTGCTTAATTTCTCAGCAATAGCCAATGAACTTGACTACCACCTCTTCTCTGAAACATTTTTTCCTTTGTTTACAAGACATGATGGTGTCCTCCTTTTTTCACCCTCTTATCTCTCTCAGGGGTCCTCAAACTTTTTAAACAGGGGGCCAGTTCACTGTCCCTCAGACCGTGGAGGGCTGGACTGTGGGCCCTGGGACGAGACGGCTGCTACGCAGGACAGGCGGGGGCGGCAAAAACACCCGGCGGCCCGGATAAATGTCCTAGGTGGAGGTGGGCCGCATGTGGCCCGCGGGCCGTAGTTTGAGAACGCCTGCTCTTTCTCCTTCCCTGGCTCCTTTTTAGGTTCACTGTCTCTCTACTTAATCAGGCTATATCATTCATTTTATACGTTACTAGATTAATGTCTTATGATGTTATTCAGGACTTACATTTCTGCCCATGAGGGATATTGGTCTATGGTTTTCTTTTCTTGTAATGTCTTTGTCTGATTTTGTTATCACAGGGCAATACTAGCTTCTTAAATTTAGAATGTGGTTTTTGTCTTCTATTTTCTGGAAGAGATTATATAGAGTTGGTGTTAATTCTTCTTTAAATGTTTGGTAGAATTTTCCAGAGAAAATATCTGGACCTAGAGAGTTCTTGTATGGGAGTTTTAAACTTATGAGTTGAATTTATATAATAGTTATAGAGCTATTCACATTGTCTATTTCATATTGAATGAGTCACGACAGTTTGTATTTTTTAAAGAACTGGTCTATTTGTCTGAATTATCAAATTAATGTGTGTTAGAATGTCTTATAGTGTTCTAATATTATCATTTTTATGTTTGCAGGGTCACTAATGCCATCTCCTGTTTCATTCCCGATAGTGGTCATTTGTGTTCTCACTCGCTCTTTGTTCTATTTCTCTGGAGAAGCCTGATGAATGCAATGGGGTATTGTGAAGACAAAAATGGATACCATAGCCCCTATCTCAGTATCTGGGACAGAGGAGGTGCTTAGTGAGTGAGAATCCCTTCTCCTTCTGCTTCACTTTACATCTTCACATGATGTATACATTGTGCATTTCATGTATTTGCCGCCTTGTTGTTAGATACATACATCTTTAAGGTTGTTGTGTCTTCTTGCAGAATTGACTCCTTTTTCTTTCTTTCTTCCTGATAATATTTCTTGTTCTGAATTCAACCAAAGTAGGTAGAATAATGGGCCCCCAGAGAGGTCTACTTCTTAATGCCCAGAACCTGTGAATATGTTAGGTTACATTTGCAAAGGGGAATGAAGGTACAGAAGGAATTAAGATTGCTAACCGCCTGACTTGGAGATGATGAAGATTATACTAGATTATGTGGGTAGACTCAATGTAATCACAGGAGTCCTTGTAAGTGGAAATGGAGGGTGTAATAGAGAGGACGAGTGAGATGGCAGCATGAGAAGGACTTGGTCCAGCATTGCTGGCTTTGATGGGGGAGTAAGGGGACAAAAAACATGGCATATGGGAAGCCTTTAGAAACTAGAAAGGGCCCGGGCCTGCTAAACAACAGTGACAACTGCAACAACAACAAAATAGCCAGGTGTTGTGGTGGGTGCCTATAGTCCCAGCTACTCAGGAGGCTGAGGCAAGAGAATTGCTTGAGCCCAAGACTTGGAGGTTGCTGTGAGCTGTGATGTCACAGCACTCTACTAAAGGTGACATAGTGAAACTCTGTCTCAAAAAAAGAAAGAAAAGAAAAGAAAAAAAAAAACTAGAAAGGGCAAAGAAATGGATTCTCCAATATAGTCTTCAGAAAATAACAAAACCTTACAGACACTTTGATTTTGTTCCAGACAGACATATTCTGGACTTCTGAGTCCTAGAACTTAAGTTTGTATTTTTTTAGTCACTAAGTTGGTAGTAATTTGTTATAGCAGCTGTAGAAAACCAATGTACATATTTTGATATTAATAGAGCCACGCAGGTTATTTTTGTATTAGCATTTGTAATCTTTTTCTATCTTCCTGGCCCCTAAAGTGAGGGGTTTTCGTTCAAATGAGAAATCAGTTTCAAATGCTGGTTTACACGTAAAGGTGATCTCTGTTAAAAAAAATTGAAAAACAATTAAAATAATGTTCATGCTTCATTGGATATCATGGAACATACCTAACATGACTTTTATTCAATGTCTTATCAGATATTTATAACAAAATATTCATATACATTTACTCATAATGAAAAAACATGCTATGGTCATAAGACTGAATTATAATGACATATCCTTTTTCAGTGTAAGAAATGTCCTAATTATTAAAGGAGAGAATTAAATAAAATCTCTCTATAAGGAAATAATAAGCATAGGTTTTTAAAATTCACATGAAACTATACCATGAAATTATATAATTTTATCTATCTCCGTCCTTAAATCTTTAACAGATTTTATATTTATAGGTGATCTCTGTTTTTGACTAACTCTTAGAATTTGAGTTGGATGAGGTAGGTGATGTTTGGCCACTCTTTAAAAGTTGCAGTTCTGTACCATTTTTTAAATTGAGTTGTGATTCATATAGAGTTACATTCATCCATTTAAAGTATGTCATTCAGTGGTTTTTGTTAAGTTCGCAAGGCAGTGCAGCCATCACCATTCTCTAATTCTGGAATATTTTCATCACCTCCCCCGCCCCCAAGAAGTCCTATAGCCATTATCAGTCACTCTCTAATCCTCCTCTAACCCAGCCACTGGCAGCCACTAATAGACTCTCTGTACCTATGGGTTTGCTTATTCTGCAGTAGATTCAGTCATAACAGTTAGCATAATGTTTTAAACTTCATACATGTTACAGCATGCATCAGCACGTCATTCTTTTTTTTTATGGCTGAATAATATCCCTCATAAAAATATGTCATATTTTGTTTATTCATCAGTTGATGGACATTTGGGTTGCTTCCACATTATGGCTGTTATGAATAATGCTGTGAGCTTCTGTGTACATGTTTTTGTGTGGATATATGTTTTCTATTCTCTTTAAATATGCTTCTTTTCTTTTCCTTTTTCTTTTTTATTTTTTTAGACAGTCTTACTTTGTCACCCTCCATAGAGTGCCCTGGCTTCATAGCTCACAGCAACCTCAAACTCTTGGGCTCAAACGATCTTCTTACCTCAGCCTCCCAAGTAGCTGGGACCATAGACACTAGCCAGGATGCCTGGCTAGTTTTTCTGTTTTTAGTAGAGTCAGAGTCTTGCTCTTGCTCAGGCTGGTCATGAATGCCTGAGCTCAAACAATCCATCTGCCTCAGCTTTCCAGAGTGCTAGGAATACAGTTGTGTGCCACCGTGCCTGGCCTCAATTATCATTTTCAACCAGGAGAAGTAGAATTTTGGGGTCATATGGTAATTCTATGTTTAACTTTTTGAGGAACTGCTAAACTGTTTTTCAAAGTGGTTGCACTATTTTACATTCCAACACCCAATGTGTGAAGGTTGTAATTTCTCCACATCCACAGCATTTGTTAATGTTTGCTTTGATTGTAGATATGCTTGAGTGAGTAAAGTGGTATCTTACTATATTCCATAGTCTTGATTTGTGTTTCCTAATCTAATTATGTAGAACATCTTTACATGTGCTCATTGACCATTTGTATCTTTTCTTTATAAAATGTCTATCCAAATTATTTGCTTATTTTCTTCTTTTTTTGTTGAATCTTAGCTGTGTACATTAATGCATTATGGGTACAATGTGCTGGTTTTATATACAATTTGAAATCATGTCAATATACTAAGTGTAGAGTATAAATGTATTTGCCTATTTTTTATTTGAATATTTGTCCTTTAATTTTTGTATTCTAGGAGTTCTTTACATATTCCGGATGCTAGAACCTTAACAGATGTATGACAAGCAAATATTTTTCTCCCCATCTGTGAGTTTTCTCCCTATCCACTGAGCTACAGACACCACCCCCGGCTTTATTTTTATTACTAAGCATTGTCTTGGCTAGATGGTTTTTTTCCTGTTTCCATACAAAACAAAGAACTATTTTTTCCCAAATCTTCAAAGTATGATATTGGTATTTTAATGGGGATTGCATTGAATCTATAGATTGCTTTGGGAAGTATAGACATTTAACATTGTTGATTCTTCCCAGCCATGAGCATGGTATATTCCTCTATTTGTTAATGTCTTCTGCTATTTCATTTCTTAGGATTTCATAGTTCTCTTTGTAGAGGTCCTTCACCTCTTTTTGTTAGGTATATTCCTAGGTATTTAATTTTCTATGAAGCTACCAGTGAAGGGAATTGTGTCTTTGATTAGCTTCTCAACTAACTTGGTTCTTGGAATATACAAAGGCTACTGATTTGTGAACATTGATTTTATATCCTGAGACATTGCTGCATTTCTTGATCACTTCCAGGAGTCTTTTGGTTGAGTCTTTGGGGTTCTCTAAGTATAAGATCATATGATCAGCAAAGAGGGAGAGTTTGATCTCTTCTGTTCTCATTTGGATGCCCTTTATTTCCTTCTCTTGCCTGATTGCATTGGCTAGAACTTCTAGCACTGTATTTAATAGTAGTGGTGATAGAGGATGTCCTTGTCTGGTTCCAGTTCTAAGTGGAAAAGCTTTCAGTTTTACTCCATTCAATCTGATATTAGCTGTCAGTTTGTCATAGATGGCTTCAATCAGTTTAAGAAATGTGCCACCTATGCCTATATTATTAAGTGTTCTTGTTAGAAAAGGGTGCTCAATTTTATAAAATGCTTTTCCTGCATTTATTGAGAGAAACATATGCCCTTTGTTTTTGTTTCTATTGATATAGTGAATTACATTTATGGATTTGCATATGTTAAACCAGCCTTGCATCCCTGAGATGAAGCCTAAAAAATGTGGAACAGTTTACAAATTTGCATGTTATCCTCACACCGGGGCCATGCTATTCATCTCTGTATTATTCCAGTTTTAGTATATGTGCTGATGAAGCAAACACCCAACTACATTCTTTTGCATTCAGATTTCCAGTTTTTTCAGCACCATTGTTGAAAACAGTGTTAGTTTCCTATTGAATGGAATTGGCACCATTGTCAAAAATAAGTCAATCATAGATGTATTTACTTATATAGCTATTGGTCTATGTGTCTATGCTTATGCCACTACCAGTCTTGATTATTGTATCTTTGTGGTCAGTTTTGAATTGAGAAATTTGAGTTCTCCAACTTTGTTTTTCTCTTTTAAGACAATTCTGGGTCCCTTGTATGTTCATGTGAATTTAGGATAAGAATTTCCTTTTTGCAAAAAAAAATAAAAAGTTTTGATTGGGATTGCATTGAATCTGTATATAATTTTGGAGAGTATTGCCATCTTTAAAATATTAAGTCTCTCAATTCTTGAAAATGATGTGTCTTATACAGTTTATTTAGATCTTTAATTCCTTTCTCACATGCTTTATAATTTTTGGTACACAAGTACTATACTTCCTTTTGTAAATTTATTTCTATGTGTTTATTTTTGTTGATACTACTATGAATAGAATTGTTTCCTTTATTTCATTCTGGGGTTGTGTTGATTATACTGTTGAGTACATCAAAGATATTCTTTATTTCTGTTCCTGTGATAATTCTAGAATTGCCATTCTTTCTTATAATTCTTTCTTATAATTTCTTGATAGATTTTAAGCTTTGTCAGGAATGAAGTTAATGAACATAGATTTTTGTACACCAAGCAAATATTTGGGCCCTGTCTATGACTGCTGATTTATCCCTAGCACCAGCCCATTATGTCATAGGTATACAATGAATAAATATTGACTTGAATGCAGTAGAATTTTGAGTTTCTCCTACAACCTACAGGACCTAGATGAACTTGTGTCAATCTAAGAAATTTTGACTTTGTTTGGAATGTGGAAGGCAGACTAGGCTAGGACTTCTTAACCATCCACAGTGAAAGACCAATTTAAAAATTTCAAATTCATCACAGATCAATAGTTTTCTAAAGTACAGTAAAAATAAACCACTAGAAAAATGAAATGAAAAGATATGCAAAATATGAATTTGTCTTTATTATTACATTCAATAGATATAAAAGTATTCTGTCAAATTGCTGTAACATTTGTCAATGCTTAATCTCAATTTCTGTACTTGCCTTGTTACACTGGAAACTACATTTTGTGTACTGACAGCTGTCTGTGGACCATAGTTCAAATAGCACTGGGTTGAGTAATCTCTGGAGTCTTCAGTGTAGATTTCCTGCTCACAAGCTTTTTAGGACACTAGAATGTCAGCTAATTGAGAACAGGCCAAACCTATAGCATCATGCAGAGCTCAAGTTACTAGATTCTAGAGAGTTGTAGGAGTTTATCTAGAAAGCAGTACTCTTGAAAAGAAATTGTATCATTTTTAAATAAGTTAACATGCAATGCATCTGACTGGGGCACCTGGGATAGACCCAGAACTCACACTGGCATTTTAGCAAAAGCACACATATTTATGACATGCACTTTTGTGTGTACTAATAGAGGAAACACTGGCTTATGTTATGTGAAACCTGCTATGTAGAACTAAAATCCAAATTAATAGCCTCTATTCCACAGCAAATTTATCTACCTAAAATGTTGTAGCCTCATTCTTCATAGAAGCCCTTTATTAAGTATCAAATTTCAAAATCATTCAATGTTATGTTATTATTTTTCAGGATAAATTTTCTCACTTTCCTCTTTGGTTTTTCTCTTCCTGGCTGATGGAGCTTTATTACAGAATATACTTGCAGCATCACGTCAGTGTGAGTAGTAACACCAGATGCAAGCACAGATACCAAAGAGCCTGTTTAAATGCATTGCATTTCCAGGGAGAAATACTTAATAAAGAGAAAAGATAGGAATTTTTACTCCAGGGTGCACAATGGCCCGTTCTCAATCAGCCGAGGCTAATGGAAGCCTGGCTGGCTTGAGAGGAGACAGATGTGGCCCTTTTATCCTGGGATGACTCCAAGTAAATCAGTATTTGCTGATAATTTTCAACAACTTTTAGCCTTTTTCATTACTGTCAGCTTGCATCCGGGAATGAAACGTATCTTTTCCACTTCACTTCTGGGCCACAACTATGTAAAATATTCAGAAAAAATATTCACAAAATAAATAATTAGATTTCCTAATGGTAAGAAATGTCCACGGTGCTGATTTAAGAACCATGCTGATGAACCAGGAAAATTCTTTTTATGAGTTGAATTGCGTCCCCGCTAAGTTTCCTATGGTGAAGTCTTAACTCCCATGACCTCAGAATGTGACCTGATTTGGAGATAGGGTCTTTATAGAGGTGATCAAGATAAATTGAGGAATATTAAACAAGTACGAATGGTGTCCTCATAAACAGGAAATTTGGGCATGGACATGGGCAGAGGAAAGATGGTTGGTGTAAAGACACAGGCAGAGGATACCCATCTGCAGGGGGAAGAGGTCTGGAACAGCTTGTTCCCCCACAGCCATCAGAAGAAACCAATTCTGTTGACACCTTTATTTGACACTTCCAGAGTCCAGAACTGTGAGACAATACATTTCTGTTCTTTCAGCTACTCAAAATGAGGCATAAGCCATCCAAATCTACAGTCCTTTGTTATAGCAGCCTGAGCAAACTAACATAACTGTGGTCCATCTCTTGTGGTTCAACTGTGGTCCATGCTCCCAGAAGCATTCAGAGTAAGCCAGAGCTATTTGTTCTTTCAACCAACTGTTGTGTGTCTGTAGGCATCAGGGTGTGTGTGGCTGCGTACATGTGGGTAGTGCAGCATGTGCACAAAAAGACAAAGTGAATCTTGGGGAGATGTCCTAGAGGCAGTGAGAATGCAGAAGCCCCAGGGAGACTCAGTCTGCCAGTCTTCTTTCCCAACTATTTACACGCTTATAATGCTAAATCATTCTTTTGCTTATTTTAAAGAACATTAACTCTTTTATCTGCCACAATCTCAGAAAGTAATAAAAATCAAATCTCAATTCATCTCTCATTTCTATGCATCACACAAGTCTCCTAGAATGTATATAACTACCCAGGTTTGTAAAGTTGGGATATATAGTTATGTTACCCTCCCCCAAAGTGGGGCAACCATTTGGAGACAAAGTTAAAGGGAAGAGAGAAAAATCTTTATGGTGCCATGCACTTGTGACCCATGGAAGGTGACTTATTTTCTATTGCCTCAGCTCTGTGAATGTTTCCGCTGCACCTGGATCAGAGCAAAGGCTTTGGAAATACTGGCTGATGGTGTGGTTTGGTGATGCACAGAAGAATTAAGACTGGGCCTGAAATTAATTTGTGGTTATTTTGTGGCAACTGGGGGGAAAAAGAACAGCCATCAGTTTCTCTGTGATGATTGTACCCCTGGTTCTACCTTAGGGCATTCTCGTCCACTCCCCACAGCTTCTGTGGCTTGGTAGGATCTTGATGGGCAGACAGGAAAGGAGCATCTTCTCTGTAACTTTCTGGTCACTTCAGGAGGCCTAGCTTCCAGAGGAGTAGACTTACCTGGGAATCAGTCATTTCAAGACAAAACCATACAGCTTGCCCCCACTAGCTTCCGGAAATAATTAAAGAGTTAGCCTGTTTCAGGGAGGGGAATCCTTTTTCTCATTCTCCAAGCAGACATTTATTGAGATCTAGTCATGTGTCAGGTAACATGCTAGGTGCTATGGAAAGAGCAGTTACCAAGATAGATGTGATCCTGGCGTTCATGGAACGTCCAGTCTGATTTCAGGGGGTGAAATAAAAACTTTGCAGCATTGTAGTCAATGGACCAAACTCTGGACTTTTGTCAAAGATTCAGTCATTCACTTATTCATTGAACAATTCATTCATTTAGTGCCAACTCTGTGGCAGACATGGCATAGGCCCGTGAATAAAGACTCTGTATCCTCTCCTCTTAGGAGGAGACACAGTAAACAAATGACAGAGAGACCCGGAGGGATACACAAAGGACAGACCCTTTGTCCAGTAGGGGGCAGCAGGAGAAGGCAGAAGCAGGGAGCCTAAGATCTCCACGAGGAAGAAGAACCATTCAGGCTGCGACTTGAAGGATGAGGGGTTCACCTGGTAAAGGCGGAAAGGTATTATGGGCAGAGACGAGGTACCAAGGCTTTCCTCCAACATCTGGTCCCATTATGGGCAATTTGGTTTCATGAGACACCAGCCTGTTTGCACACGGAGAGCACCCAGAGACTCCGGTTTTCAGAGAAGTCTGAAACCATGCAGATATGATAGTACATGAAGTGTTTGGAGAACATAGATTCAATCAAGCTGGCTAGTTCATGGGATCTTGGGATAAGAAAGGGTGAATTTTAGTGTGTGCATGCTCTCATCTGTCTTAGGCAGACGGCTTGACTGAGTTTCAATAGGTAAATTGGAAAAGGCCTGTGAAGCCTTGAATGCCAGGTTAACAAGCTTAGACTTTATCCTGAAGGCTGTGAGGTAGTTCTGGAAAGATCAGGTATGTGTTTTACTAAGGGGAAGCTGACAGTAGTGTGTGAATGGATTGACCAACTGGTTTAAGCTTTGTCTCCTATTCTAGAAAGTAAGCGCCAAGGGAGGAAGGACTAGGTATATTTTGCTCATGACTGAATCCTCAGCACAGTGTTTGGCATGTAGTAGAGCCTCAATAAATACTATTTGAATAAATAAATGAATGAAGTTACTGCAAATTTCCAGACAAGAGATGGCACAAGGTAGAAGTACGTAACGATGAGTTTCAGATGATATTGAGTAGATAAAATCAATAGGGCCAGGTAATCAAAATGTACATGGAGTACTCAGCAGTGACTAAGTATTCAGTAAGTGGTAGCCATTATTAGCTTCATCCCATGGTAAAATCTAGACTGGCTTGCAGTTTTCTGCTTATAGGGCTCTAAGAACATATTGGTACTTAGCAATCCTTAACAGCCCGCTGGGTTAGAGAGTAGCCGGTATGGGAGTGGGTATAAGTGGAAGGGAAGATAATCAATGTAGTTAGAGA